TTAAAGTATAACTTTCTTGTTGATGTAGTATATAAAAAAGTAGTATTGTTGTAGTATTGAAAAAAATTTTCTACTGCGGAAAAAATCGTCAGATTACCAGTATTCGACCCTAATTTAACTGTAATAAACGCTTTCGATCGAAAAACGTGTTACATATGTTTTTTCTGAGTTACGCTTTTTTTTAATGTTCAGTGGCCCAAGTTATGCAAAAAAAACCCCTTTTAAAAATGTAATTTTCATTTCGTAAAATAGTGTTTTTATACGAGTAGTATTTAGTTCCTTCAAACGATGTATTTCAATGTGCATACAATATGAAAATTTTGTACAAAATTCCTTAGGCGCCGAACGCCGCCGCCGCCGCCGCCGCGCCGATATTTTCGTAACTCGGCGGCGGCGCGTGTGAAATGACAAAGAACGGCGGCGGCGGCGGCGTGGCCCGGCGGCGTATACCTCTACTACAGACAACATTGCGGCCGCATACATAACTTGTTTACAAAAATGAAATTTTCAGTACTGACAAAACTACCACATCAAGTGGTATGGATATATTTTATTTCTTAGTGATTAAGTATTTATACATATACATATCTATGTTTGAATATCTAAACAATGTAAGTTGGTTTGTCATTAAATTCAATTTGTTTTTATATATGTATACATTTTTGTTTTTTCGGTTAATACTTAATGTGTGTATTTTTTTGTATTTTTGTATATTTGTTGTAACAGATAAAATAAACACTACCCCTGAGGATGCTAAAAAAGTTTTAGCGAAACGTCGGGTGAAAAGTGGAATAAAGTAGTTTTATTCGCACCAGAACTGAAATGATCAGACTAGCCTACAAACATAAAATAAAATACACATTCAGATTCAATCCAACAATTTCATTGAGCTCGGGCCATTTTTTATGAATAATGTTGTGGAAAAGCAACAATAATTTACAAATATAAGAAGTTATAGCTGCTATTTGGGAGATCACCACATCTACTAATCAGACTTCTTAAACCGCGGTCACTGAGGAGATGTGGTGATCTCCGAAATAGCAGCTTTAACTTCTACCTTTTGTAAATTATTGTTGACTTTCAGTAACACTTTTCATAAGAAACTGCCTCAAGCTCAACAAAATTGTTGAACATAATGCTCTGCACACTTAGGACGCGACTGACGACTGACCACACGACAATAGCGTTTTATCTGCATTATCTTTGCTCCCGTCGTCGGCTACTTGATTACAATGACTGCGCTAGCTACAACTTCTCCCGCCATATTTTATTTGACATTTGTGTTTTAAACGTATTTGCTGCGATTCCGTGAGAAAAATTTTATATTAATTTCGTTCCAATTTTCGATAAATATCTGGTAAATACGCATAAATCATTAATATTTTTCAAATCTTTCATATATATTATCATTGATTACAGGAGTAATGAATAATCCCTTGCGTTTAATACAGTTTACGACTGCAATTGCTAAAATTGTACAAATTGTACATTTCGCATATGAGGCGTACAGTGAGCTTAATAAAAACAGGAGAAGATGGTGGGTGCGTCCTGTGAATTTAACCCGGGAGGAGGAAGGTTTTTTCATGGTTTGCCTTCAACAGCTGAAAGGTAGAGATGAAGAACACTTCTTCAAGGCGACGAGAATGAGTGTTGCANCGGGAGATAGGTTTTTTCATGGTTTGCCTTCAACAGCTGAAAGGTAGAGAAAAAGAACACTTCTTCAAGGCGACGAGAATGAGTGTTGCAAATTTCGACTGCTTGCTATCCATTTTGAAGGAAAAGTTGCAGAAATACTCCAATAGAGAAGCGATAGACCCAGAAACCCGGCTGGCCGTAACAATATTGTAAGCATGATAATAAGTATTTACGAAATACATATGTATGTGTGTATGTCGATTTTCATTTTACATACATTTATACATTTGGTATTTTCAGTTATTTGGCACAAGGATGCAACATTCATGTCCTGGCTTGGACATTTAAATTGGGTATTTCAACGGTTCGTAAAATAATATACGAAACTTGTGATGCTATTTGGAGCGAATTGCATGAAATATATGTATCGCCGCCAAACACAACGGAACTGAAAACCATCGCGGAGAAGTTCTACATAAATTGCTTGGGAGCAATTGACGGTAAACATATACATATAACCCGTCCTGCGAATAGTGGCTCTTTGTACTATAATTACAAAAAGACATTTAGCATCGTGTTGATGGCTGCATGTGATGCAAACTATTGGGCAATTCACAAGGTGTTGTGAAGTTATATTTTCCTAACAAAAGTTGTGTTAAAACACGACGGTTGTGAACACCTGTTACGATTATTTATTATATCTCAGCACTTAACCTCACATAACACCGAATAAACATAGGTTGCAGAGTTGTATCGTCATGTGTTATTTTTCTTCACAAAACAATAACAACATTTTTACAACTGTCATGAAATATCATGACTTCACGACAAACACGACAAATACGACACCTTGTGAATTGCCCATATGTTTTTACGTATGTAGATGTCGGTGCTTTGGGAAGCCAAAGCGATGGAGGCGTGTTTGCGCGAAGCAGCTTCGGGAAACAAATTTTAGACGGAACTTTAAATGTTCCTGGTGATGCATATTTACCAGCCACGATGAATCTCTTTCCACATTACTTCGTGGGAGACAGCGCATTCCCACTTAGACCAAATTTAATGCGACCATTTCCAGGGCATAATTTAACGCCAGACAAGGACAGGTTCAACACAATGTTGTCTAAGGCTCGGGTTCATATTGAAAACGCTTTCGGTATTTTAGCCAACCGGTGGAGANGGCCAACCGGTGGAGAATTCTGCATACACGTATTAGTGCTTCTTCTAGTAATGCGGATAAGATTGTCTTGGCCATAATTGTACTTCATAACTT